AAAGATCTTAAATACCAGTGAATATTACATGTATTAGTAGTAGATAGTTGTAAACAAGTGACTTTAGGTAGCCCCACAAGTGAAAGTCTAGATTTAGTTCAAAACTGCGTGCTGGCCATGGGTATACACTACCTTTACCAATCACCCTTTGAGTATAAATTTTATCTAGATAATTTCTAAATTCTAAGCTATAATGTGGTGGTGCACCATCATGCACGTACCAAGAGTTACGTCTCAAACTTAAAGGCATATCTTTTAAAAGAGTTGGTAAATCTTGTCTCAAAAAATTTAGATACGTTACTCCGTCAAGCCTAGTTGGCAATTCGAATGGTCCTACAAAACAATCCCCAAATATGCCACACCAGATATTTATAAAAAACTCCTGACATATTGACTATGGCGCCAATTAAACACACCTCTTCTAGTAAATGTGACTTCATCGATAAATAAAATTTTAATATAAATCATTGGATCTTCTAAATGCCGTCCTATTATAAACGGACTAAATCAGAGCCTTGCTGGAAAATCCTGTGGCAAAAGATTCTATACTGGAGTAAAACTATAATAGGGATACAGATTTTCTGCCATATTATTCTTGACACCGTAGATTTGCTTATACCAGTGGCCGCAGAATATTAGTTTCTGGATCTTCTGCAATACGCACAACAATTTCATCCTCCATATCCGCATCAATTACCCTCGGTCTTCCAACATTCCTGTTTTTGGAATGAAATGACGTAAAATTACATAAAAAATTGTTTTATAAAAATTTTCAAAAAGGCGGAAACTATTTCACATGTAAAAAATGTTTTCAAAGTTACTGATGATCTACAGCCAAATAATAAAATCACCTAATTTCAATATTGAAGCTACATAATGAGACGGAAGACAAATATTTTGCTTTTTCTTTTTTATTTACTATCACTAATATTTTATGTAAAAATGATTCTATATCTCTGAGCTCAGTTGACCGATTTTAATTTAAAAGGAGGTCTTATTTTTTTGTTATAATGTCAACTTTTTGGTAAAATAATTTCTAAAACCGTAAAACATATAAGTTTTATTTTATAAGTCAAGAAGAACGAAAAGAAAACTTACAAAATTTAATGATTATTTGTCAAAATTTAACCAAACAAGGAAAAAAATTGCGGACACCGATAATTAAATTTTTTTAAATACCTTTTAAACGAGGATTGGTAAACTACACTACATTTAGTAAATTATAAGATACAGCTGTTTAAAAATAGCCAGAATATAGGCATCTAAAATCGTTAGTTTATGATAACCGAGATAAAATCTTAGGATATCTTTCAACAAAAACCGGTACCTTATATTATTCGGGAAATACTGATAACCAACATGGACGTGGAGTAGCAATTATTGTCGATACAGAGGTCAACAAGTCAATAGAGGGCTTTGTCCCAATCTCAGAAAGAGTGATGCTACTACAAATAAGGACATCACACACAAAACTAAATCTGATCCAAGTATATGCGCCAACGACAGATGCAACAGAAGATGAAGTAGAAACATTCTACCAACAAATTGAAGATGCCCTGAAAATGACAAAGAACAGGGAAATCACGGTAGTTATGGGCGATTTCAATGCAAACGTCGGCAAAGGAAGAGCTGGAACAGTAATGGGAGACCAAGAACTAGGGGAACGTAATGATAGAGGCGATCGTCTAATACAATTCTGCCAAGAACAAAGTCTAATAATCACAAACACGTTCTTTAAATTACCAATGAGACGGTTATATACACGACGCTCACCAGCAGATAAACCGGAAAAAGTTGTAAGAAACCAAATCGACTATATAATGATTAAAGAGAGATATCGTAACACCATCAAATCAATTAAAACATATCCAGGAGCAGATGTCGCATCAGACCATAACCCACTAATTGCTAATGTCACGGTTAAGTTTAAACGTATTAGAAAACTACAAAGAACTCCAAAATTAGATGTTACAAAACTAAAAGAAGATGATATAAAAATCAAACTTCCACAGAAAATATATGAAAACTTTGATAAATTAAATACTAACACTTACAAGATAAACGAACAATGGAAAATACTAAAAAACTGCCTCCTCGCTTCATGTAAAGAGATATTAAAAGAACCTACACGAAAAAAAGACAATTGGATGACCGACGAGATACTCGGCATGATGGAACAACGAAGACAAGCCAAGAACAAAGACAGTCACAATTACAAAATCAACAACAATGAAATCAGAAAAAAGATAAGAGAGACAAAACAAACTTACTATGAGGAAAAATGTAAAGAGATAGATAATCTTCGATGAAAAAAAATGCTAAAAATTCAGATGCTTATGTTGTAACGTTTGAGCTACAGCAACAGATGTATATTCCGCAACTGACCCATTCTCACATGTATTACTCCCAACAAGTTGCCTGCTGTAACTTTGGCATTCACGACAGTGTAACTGGGGTTGGTTGTATGTGTTTGTGGACAGAAAACTACAGTGGAAGGGGATCACAAGAAATTTTCTCTTGCTTTTATAAATATCGCACTATGGCCAATCTACGTGGAAGAACACAACTTATTTGCTGGTCAGACAATTGCGGGGGGTAAAATAAGAACCAGTTATGTTAGCAATGTATCTTGTTCTTATAGGCAACAATTATTTTTCTGAAGTTGTTCACAACTTTTCAGTAAAAGAACACATAGTATACACAAGGACACGTTGTATATATATATATATATATATATATAATATATATATATATATATATATATATATATATATATATATATATATATATATTATATATATATATATATATATATAGCTATATGAGCTACAGCTAAATAAATTGACACATCCGATTAATCGAAGGGAATCCTTTAAGTTATTGAGAAATATTCTAATAGAGAATTCATATCCTTCCTCTATCATTAATAAATACCTTTATTCACATAGCTATGGATCCTCAATTTATGACATACCCGATGGTGACCAACTTAGAAACATCTCAAATAATTCAATAAATAGCATTGTTCTGCATAATACTGTTCTTGAGAATACTATCACACATTATTCTTCTTTAACTTACTTCCCTCAAGTTACTGAGAAGCTTATTAAATTGTATAAACAAAATAATATACCTGTTAAAATTGCTGTTAAGAATGCTAAAACTGTTAGAAATTTGTTCTCTAAAACTAAAACACCCTTGTCCACTTTGGAACAAGTTAACACAATTTATAAAATTCCATGCGCTAATTGCGATTTATGTTACATTGGTCAAACTGGTAGATCATTAAAAGGTCGTCTCACTTCACATCGTAGTGACATTAATTTATCAAAACACACTTGTGCCCTGGCACAACATGCGATAAATACCAAACATGAGGTGGATTTCAATGAAGTTAAGATCCTTGCCACTGAACGCAATCTAGCTAAAAGACAGTTTTTGGAAATGTGTTCAATACTAAAACACCCTAATGCTTTGAATAAGAGAACTGACATAAGTAACTTGAGCCAAATATATCATGCTTTAATTTTGCAGAATTAGGCTTCTTGATCTTTTCACTATATTAATGTCATATTAGGTGTACTGTTTGAACCTTTTTCCATTTTTCATAAAATAATTTATATACATAAAATAGAAATAAAATACATAAAATATCTTAATAATATAATTTAATATTCTTTACTTAATTTACTATTACATATGCAACTTACATTGCATTTCCATACACTGATTACTTTGATTAGTGTGAACAATTTTATACTTAAATAATACAAATATTGTAATTGATTCATAGAATCCTTTGCAAATCACAGTTCCAAGTATATTGAACCTTGGGCTGTTTGGAAATTAATGAGTCGTTAACCACCTGTGGCTGTTTAACTAGCCATAATGATTAACGTTATTACATACTTATGAGGTTGAATGAAAATCTCCTGTTTGTAAATCTGGGCTGATTAGTGAGGGGAGTTGCTATTACACTACCAACTTCTTTCACTGTTTTGTCTTTTGCAACCGGGTAGTCATCCAAACTCATTTAAACATAAATTGACCGCCCAAAATTTGGGTTGGTACCTACACCTTGTTGATCTGTCGAAAGTATTTTTGACCTCAAGGTTGGCTGTCTTTTCGCGGTTTAGTTCGTTCCTGTTTCATCTAACGCCATTTTCCCGGCGACATTGGTAGGGCTTTGATCGGTAACTTCATTTATACTACTTTTAAAATTTTATTAATATCACTTATAATGCTACCTAAAGTTAAAATCAAAGCTTAATATTCATATAAATAGTTGGAAGTTATCTATGATTTTCTTGGTTCTTTCTCACTAATTAACATTAAATAACATTTAATTTACTTTAGACCACATGGTCATTTGCTGTGCTAATTTTATAAGTTCATATATGTTGTTAGTTACTTAATTGTTTATACAAAATCAGCGTATTATGTCCATTTACTTAGTTTTATTCACATTATTGTTAATAACATTGACTGCTACATGTCTTTTTAAGGTAACAATTAACATCGTTTCCATGATTGTGTGGTTCTCATATTGTAATTTTTTAGATGAACTGATGATGCTTTCAAAACTCGAAAGCGAAACGTCTTCAAAATAGATAAAGTAGCCTATCAACTTTGTCTTTTATTTCTCCACCTAGAGACCGATATAAGAACCCACCACTCGTCTGAGTGATCCTTATATATATTGGATTGACGGTCGTACTCCTTTTTTCGATATATATATATATATATATATATATATATATATATATATATATATATATATATAACAATGTCTGTTTATTGGCCCAGACTTGTTCTATTATGTGTTGTGCCTTACACAGTCATAAAATGTATGACGCGGGTTATTAAGTGACCATCCTGTATATTAACTTCACAATCACGTATGACAATACCAAACGAAATATAACCTTCAACTTGCAATATCGATATAAAAGAATATAGAGATCAATTCAAATGACACATTTTTTTATCTGTGTAGCTGTAAGCACAACAGTATTTAATGTTTACTGGAAAAGGAAATTGTTGCAAATATTAGTGTTGACAATTACCGCAAATAATTCCTAATAATTTGAAACAAGATCGTCTATTGTTACAAGCTTCAGTGTGTTGAAAAGTAAAAAATGTTAAACGCGCTTATTAGTAGATCCTCACAGTATTTACTGTAGTCCGGTTGTTGTTATATTAGAGCCATAAGAACTAAATTTTTTATAAGAAATATGGTTTTTAAAGAAATTAAGCGGAGCCAAAGTCATTATAATGTCGGAGCGAGGCCACAGAAAACTGATGGGTAAGTTGTAGTGTTACAATTGTTCAAATATTCCTTTTTATATAATTGCTTCACTACATCTCATCTTCTTCTTCCTAAGTTGCATTTCTAAGGTTGTATAAATATTATCTGCTTATTGTATCTCTCATCGCTTCAGCATTTTGTGGACTATATTATTCTTCTTCTTTATGTGCCGTCTTCTACCGAAGGTTAGAATATTATTAGAAAATTAAATTAAATTTCTAATTTAAATTTTTTTACATCCTTTATTTATTGTAATCTGTTTTCACAAATAAAAAAAAAACAATAATCAATAAATCATGAATGTGTTGCTTGTGTGAGTCCATTTCAAATAGGTAAAGAAATAATAAATAAGACTTACTCACAATCATTTAACTTAACTATTCAGACGACCGGTTTCGCTTTCTACAATATGCAAAGCATCTTCAGGTCTCGATACAAAGTTAAATAAATGCTGAAATAATAATAAACCCATACTAAGGTGTTGTCTAATAAAGATAAACAAAGTAGATGTTATAAAATTACAATAATTATGCCAATATTACATGTCTGTGGTTTTTCAAAATGAATAAAAAGGAATAAAAAGGTATAAAAAGTTTTAACAGACAAGGTAAGACCCACAAATTGTTATAAAATAGTCTATTAGATTGTAATAAATTAATAAATGAGCCAATAAATAAAACATTACTAACATGCCGGTACTCTATTAATTGATGGATGGTAGATCACGGAAACTATCATGTATTGTTGAATGGAGAACTTAAGTCTGCTATTGCAGTTGTTTGACAATAAACGGGAAGTTCTTGAGGAGATAGATTTGATCCAATGAAGTAGAGATAGGTGTAATGTGATTGTTTGTTAGATGAAAGTGATGTTATATACCATTGTATTATTTAAAAGTTATTTATACTTATTCAAGAGATATATTTATAAAATGTGTGTTATTTATTGAGTATTTATTTTACTTCATAAAATCATAAAGTATCTATATTTATTCAAGAAATATATTTATGAAATATGTGTTATTTATTGAGTATTTATTTTACTTCATAAAATCATAAAATAAATACTCAATAAATAACACACATTTCAGAAATATATCTTTTAAATAAGTATAAAATAACTTTTAAATCATACAATGGTATATAACATCACTTTCATCTAACAAACAATCACATTACACCTATCTCTACTTCATTGGATCAAATCTATCTCCTCAAGAACTTCCCGTTTATTGTCAAACAACTACAATAGCAGACTTAAGTTCTCCATTCAACAATACATGATAGTTAGAACCATGTTCTACCATCCATCAATTAATAGAGTACCGGCATGTAAGTAATGTTTTATTTATTTGCTTATTTATTAATTTATTACAATCTAATTGACTATTTTATAACAATTTGTGGGTCTTACCTTGTCTGTTAAAACTTTTTATAAATTTTTATTCATTTTTATTCATTTTGAAAAACCACAGACATGTAATATTGGCATAATTATTGTAATTTTATAACATCTACTTTGTTTATCTTTATTAGACAACACCCTAATATGAGTTTATTATTATTTCAGCATTTATTTAACTTTGTATCGAGACCTAAAGATGCTTTGCATATTGTAGAAAGCGAAACCAGTCGTCTGAATAGTTAAATTAAATTGATTGTGAGTAAGTCTTATTTATTATTTCTTTACCTATTTTTAATAATCAATAAGTTTATGACTGAATTAACACAGGGAGGATCCATCGAGTGACAAAAATCCTTTGAGATAAATTTCTTATACATATAAATATTTGAAAAATAAATACCACTTTACAAAGACATATACGTCTAGTTATAAAATGATAGAGCATACGTCTATGTATTTACCGGTATAGCCCAGGCTGTGGGAAAAAAGGGTGATTTTACACTGTAATCCAGGAATTTATGTAATGTGGCCTAGCTTATAAAGGGCAACCTGAGGAGCAATCCCCATGTTCATTTCAACAAAAAATTTTTGGTTATTGTTTATTTATGAGCGTTTATAGGTGCAAAATACGTATTTTTTGAGTTTTCTTCATTTTTTGCCTAAAGTAAGTGTTGTAATGGGTAATTTCTGTAAAGATTACGAAAGTACTCTAAAAGACCTTCAGTTTGAGCTGGTATATGTTCAATTTAATTTATTTGTTATTGCCAAAATGTCGAATGAAGGTCAAAATTATAAAACGTAATATTTATTGCAAAATTGCTTTGTTTATTTCAAATATATTACCTTCAAACCTAAAAAATCACGAATCGAATGAGCCGTAGTAGGCCTAGATCGCTAAATTTGTTGCTGAGATACGTTAATTAATTTATCCCACGACCTTCAACTTTGAATGCTCATAGGATTGTCAAAAACATGGTAGAGGGCCAATTCTTATTTCATTCTCTTCCTAAAGCCATAGATTTTCATATTTCACTGGAAAATAATGACAAAAAAATTAAACCCGTTAAAAACAATTATTTATGAAGTTGTAAAATTGCAGTTATAAACATTTAGAGCAACCGTATGTTATGAATGGTAGTAGACACTGATCGGATGCTTTTTTCTTCAGATGGATTGCCATCTCAGATTTGAATATACTGCATTATCTACAAAAGATGCCAAGCCGGTTTCATTCTTTGTTGATTTCTGGAAGTAAGGAAACCCATGTTTATGTTTTTATTGTCCAAGGGTATACAGTAGGGACGTAACCAAGTGGAAAAGATAGGCTTATTGACTGAATTACAGCAACGAGCAAAACCATAACAATACTATAAAAGACATCACAATATATATATATATTATCTATATCTATATATATACTTATATATATATATATATATATCTATTGTTAGTTTGTATTGTTTTGAGGTTTCCGCGCGAGTATATGTGACTGTCATATTTTTCCGGCGTTTGACTCCGCGTTGTAAAGTGCTTGTTTTCTTGAAAACCATTGTTTTGGCGACGTTTCGGCAAGGTCTCACTTTGCCATTCTCAAGCTGGTGGATCTGCTTCTCGTCGTTACTCGATTAGTACTAAATCGAGTAACGACTTGCCTCGGATGAGCATACAGTTTTTAGAGTGCATTGAGCTCTGAGGTTTTGGCTCCCTGATTGTGCGTGGTAGTGATAAACTTCTTGCTCAGAGAGGGTTGTCTCTCATTTATGGGATGGATATTTGATAATTGTGAATGAGGGCGGAAGGTAGTCGCAAAGTTTGCCATTCACTCTACGCAGAATTTCCCTCTTAGTCTGAGTAAATTTTCTTTGACAGTTATTGACTTTGTAGTTTTAAATATTGGGATCTGTTATTCAAAAAATAGGTCTGATAAAAGCTTTCTAAGTGGACTATTATTGTATAGAGTTGCGGCCCCGAAAAATTTCGATCTCAAACTATTGAGGAGACCAGTCTGCTCCTGGCCTTATTGCAGGCTTGGTTCAGATCGGCCCCTCCAGCTCAGCGTTCGGGTGAACACTACACCGAGGTGAATCGATCTGATCACGGAGTGAAGTCGAATCTCCCTCAGAGCGTGAGATAGTTTCTTTCGTTAAAGGACGGCCGCACGTACACTGTGTTTTGAGGTATCTAAAGAGAATCGTTTTGAGGTTGGTTCGGATTCAGGGACACTCTCCATCTCCTGCACCAGTTTTAATAGTCTAAGGTGTTTTGAGGTACCTTGAGACCAAAAATAACGTCAACCGAATTGAGATGAGCGAAAATGATTTTGTGTTCGGTGGTAAAAGTCAATGAGTCTTTCTTTTTGGATTCTCTCAAAGGACTTTAGCTTAAAAATATATATATATTACTATATATATATATATATAATATTATTATATATATAATATATATATTTAGTAGACTATATATTGGGTCAATATAAAATTAACAAAGAACAAAACAGCAGAGATTAAAAGACGAGTTATACTGGCATGGGCGGAATTTGGCAAACTAAGCTACATTTTTAAAAACAAAAGATATCCACAGCATCTTAAGATCAAAGTATACAATCAATGCGTACTCCCAGTTCGTACTTAGGGTTCCCAAACGTGGACATTTACAAAAGCAAATATGGACAAAATCATAAAAATCCAAAGAGCAATGGAAAGACAAATGCTGCACATAAGACTAATGGATAAAAAGAGACACGAGTGGATAAGAGAGAAAACAAAAGTAAGGGATGTTAGAGAAGAAGTTGCAAAATTGAAATAGAGATTTGCCGGACACAATATAAGACAAAACAAAGACCGATGAAAAAAAGTTCTTATATGTTGAAGATCGTGGGAATATCAAGAAAGCAGAGCAACGCCCCAAATGAGATGGACAGATGATATCAAGAAGCACGTGGGCTCTAGGTGGATGACTGTAGCGACAGACAGAGAAGAATGGAAAGGATTGGGGAGGCCTATGTCCAAAGGTGGACCGAAAAATGTTAATTAGAATACATATTCGTCTACTATCTCAAGTGCACTGTTGTTTATTATTAAATCTTGAAAATCCACTAGCTGTTTGTACATGGTTTTTGTTTTTGTCAAATTCGTTTTTAGGCCAACTTCATTTAGGTCGCTTTTAAGTTCTGAAAGTTCCGCAGGAGTATTAGCAATTAGATAGATGTCGTCTGCAAATTTTAGATGGCTGAGCTGAGGTATCCTCCATCAATAGATATTTCTTTGTTATGCCAGTTCATTTTGCCGAATATATTTTCTAGAGTTGCAATGAGGAGCTTTGCTGATATTGCGTCTCCTTGTCTGACGCCTATAGAAGTGGGAAACTCTGGAGTGTTTTTATAAATTTTTACCTTAGCTTTTGCTTGTCTGTATATATTTGCTAACGTATCTGTGTACGGTTTGTCAATGCCTTGGTTGGTCAAAGCTTCTATTACTGCGTTGGGATATATAGAATCGAAGGCTATTGCTAGCGGTATTTCATATTCTTTAGCTCTACTCATTAGCCTTCGAAGTGTATGAATATGATCCATGATACTGAATCCACTTCTGAAG